GAATGTCATTCGACACAGTTCACTGATCAGCGAGCCGAATATTTGGACTAGAATTTCATGCGCAAGCACAGATTCCGTTGGGTGTTGATAAAATTTCTCCGCGAATTGCGGATGATTTTGCATATAGTGAATGGGAAAATCCAGACGACCACGTTGAAGCAAATAACGAATCATTTGGCGTCCTTTGCCTTGTATATTGCACAGGCTATTGTTTTTCCGAACCTCAGTAAAAAATGATAAGGAAGGATGATGAATATTTGGTGGCAAATAATTTTTCAACTTCGATGAATAATTGGTGATCTCTGGCTCTGTCCCAGCACGGCCGTGATGACCCACTGTTTGATGGTCTTTGTTTGCTTAAGTATGAATCCGGTCAATTTCATCAAACTTTTCCATGTAATGGCTAGAATCTTTCGGCCAGTTGTGGCGCTTTGGAGTTAGCGTTAACAGTGATAGGGATTTATGGACTCGAGTTGCGGGATTTTCGAACAAATAAATCAGATGCATCGGATACATCGCAACAGGGCAATGATTAACAGATCGATGCGGAATTCCCATAGACGCTTTTCTACAATTCATACCTCATTTTCTTCTGAGTCACATGATAGTCAACGTAAATAAAACAACCGGAATCACGAAAAAAATACGATCGTGCATGAAAAGACAATTTTACACTACTCGCGCATTCGACCTGGACAAGGCTTTGGTGCAACTGTTGTGCAATGGATGCTAAACGTTCTTACGAGCGTTCAAATGTGAATCAATGATAAATTTTGAAACTACATTTCTCTAGGCAGCACTGCATGTGAAAACATGTTTCACAGACTTAAAAAACAACTGGTAAACCATTGGTAGAATACCAAGGAAATGACATCAAACCTATGGGTAAGAACATATACGGTCCGGAAATGGAGACTTAATCTGTGGATTTATTTCAAATAATTCTCAATCATTTTTATTGGTTCAAAGGGGACAATTTCACAAGACACACTTCTTGAACGTCCGAAGACCGAGAAGGGTTGTGGAAATAAAAGAATGCTGAGATACTTGATAGCCATGGATCTTGGTGTGGTTTGGCAGTGTTACCTGTGGATGAATACAGACCAAGTGTACCAAGTGTATGGTAAGTCTGAATATTGAATAAGCATAGTGTATTTAGTTTATATCAAATAAATAAAGATCAAATCCTTGGCATTAGTCTCGAATGATGTCCTTCTTCTGGTGCTGACTAAAATTTACAAAATCCGGTGCTTTTATGAGTTCGAGTCATTGGGAATTACTTTTATTAGTAAAATATAAAGCGGCACGAGATAAAGTCAGCATACGTTGATATCGTATGGTAGCATGAAAGATTGGGGATGGAGCAACAATCATCATCACAGTCCACCAGGTCCGTCCGAATCACTGGCAAAGTTTCTTCCAACTAGTTTAACATGAAGATGAACAAGTTTCAAAATCAGAAGTCATAAACTCACCGATTTCAAAGCGGCCGAAAAGTCCGGATGAATGAAAGATTTTTCCTGTTTCAATTTTTTCATCAAATCTTCCATCCAGGAATAATAATCCCGTGTCCGACTCCGGTTGGTCAGTCCAAGACGGAATAGGGATTCGATCGCTTCGCACAGATCACGAACCACAGACATCTGGTCATCCAGAGTCTTGATTTGCTTTTGGTGCACATCCAATATGCACTTTTTGATCACCCCAAACTGAGCCGGTGTTTGTAGCATCACCTTCCGAGTTCCAGTTTAAACAAATCGAAAGACCTGAATTTTAGTAGGGATGGGGAAAGAATTGCCCAGGAAAAAAATCAGTTGAATGCACAACGCTTGGCACAATCGTGCCAATAGTATTTTTTTATCGCGACTGCTTCTATCTCACCGGACCTTTTTAGTTCATGGCATTCTGTTTGTTTTACCTCGCCAACTAGTGTCCCGCATCTCTACCGCCTGTCGTCGTCCGCAAAGCCTCGCTCGTCCCCCACTGCCAGAGTACGAGCCGAGGGACATCCTGCCGCGCATATCCGTCTACTCTTCGCTGCGCTGCGAGAGCTCGAAGTACGTTCGCATTATAAATGTGCAATTAACTGTATTCAAACGTAGCCAAACACTGAGTTTATCGTGTGTGTGTTTCTCCTCCCTGAATATTTGATCCTCACTTTCTACAGTTACGCAGTCTTTGTTTCGCACTATTTTTCGCTGATCCCACGTAAGATTCAGAGCCACAATGTAGACACTTAATAATACTGGGTTACTATTCAGCCTGGCTATTGGTAATCCGTTTCCAGATCCCCAGACTTGAACAATGCGAAGCCCCCTTTTTCTCAACAAACTGATACGTGTTGCCTCGAGGATGCTTAGTAGTAATAACCAAACAGTCACACTTAGGTAGACATTCGATTTTTTACGGACAAACATGTCCCATTGATGCCTCGCCAACAGAAAAACGATTATTTTTTTTTCATTTTCACACCGCTACTTATCTCCGGAGAAACCGAGAAAAAAATCGACAGTATTTTGATCAGCTCATTTACTGGAAAGTTTTTCCAACACGCTCATAAATGCAATAAACTAGGCAAGAAGAGAACAATTCAAAAAGGAAGCCAAAAAAGAGAACCGCGTATGAAAAGAC